GGGGGAGGAGGAGGAGGAGGAGGGGGAGGCGACCAAAACCAAAACCAGAGCTAAAAGAGTTTGAAAATGTGTCTAAAAGTCACAATAAAATGTAAAAATATTAACATTTTCTGCAGGAAGTGGACGTCCGCTGATGCAAAGACGAAGGTGGAGTTGGGCTCCTGCAACAACCAGTGTCCAAAAGAGGTACACACACACACACACACACACACACACACACACACACACACACACACACACACACACACACACACACACACACACACACACACACACATCCTTCTTTTCCCCCATCAGTATCAATAATCAAAGATGTTCAAAGTCACTGCAGGACGAACAGAATACCCTCTGTCCTCTGTCCAGTAATCAATTTAACTCTGTGGCGCCAGACACACACACACACACACACACACACACACACACACACACACACACACACACACACACACACACACACACACACACACACACACACACACTGTTTCACTTCACCTGGGAACGATTTCGCTTTTTCATTCTGTCGTTTACTGGCACTGACACACACTCTCTAATGTTTGTTTGAAGTGTGTGTGTGTGTGTGTGTGTGTGTGTGTGTGTGTATGGGTATGGGTGTGTGGGTGTGTGTGTGTGTGTGCAGTAACTTAAGCTCCTAAAAGCCTCGTCACACACACAGTTGGAATAACAAACACGAGAAAGTGGACATTTATATTTCTTCTGACGCTTCAGCAGATCCAGAATCAAGATGTCAGAACTTCATCGTAGCTTCATATTATGTTATTGTATATTATTATATTATAAAGTGCTGCATCTTATTACAACATAGCCCCATTTACTAACACCTCTTCTCTGTGTTTGATTCTACATATATATGAGCTGTGTTGACATTGTATGGAGATCGTGTTTATTTATTTGTGTTTCCTTTTCTGTCTTCATTCTGCCTCACTGAGACCACAGTCATTAAAGTGTGTGTGTGTGTGTGTTTATTCTGTGTGTGTGAGCAGCTGGCGTGTGGTCACCGCTGTAAGCAGGTGTGTCATCCAGGTGTGTGTGAGGAGAAATGTCAGCAGAAGGTGAAGGTCAGGTGTCCCTGCAAGAGGATCAAGAAGGTAAACTCTCACACACACACACACTTCATAGCCTCAAGGCCCCGTATACATAAGTTAAGTGTGTGTGTGTGTGTGTGTGTGTGTTGCAGGAGTTCTTGTGTTCAGATCAATGTGCGGTTCAGTGTGACGACGCCTGCAAAGACCAGAAGAAGAAAGTCAGCCAGGTACGTACACACACACACACACACACACACACACACACACACACACACACACACACACACACACACACACACACACACACACACACACTTGTACACTCAGACCAACACCTGGATACACACTCACCAATATGTGTGTAACTGTGTGTGTGTGTTCAGGTGAAGGAGGCGGAGCTTAAAGCGGCTCAGGAGGAGGAGCAGAAGAAGCTTCAGGTGAGTCTGAACACACTTTTTATTATCTCAGCTTTTTTTTATTTAGAGCTAAACAATTCTGTGTTGAATCCTAAAGTTTTTTATATATAATCCCGTGGTCAAATTCTTAATAATTAAGAAGTTAAATTTTAAAAAGTAACTAATAATTAAGATATTTAAGGTGTTTTTTGTGTTTTCAGGAGGAGCTGGAGGCGTTTGAGAAGCGCCAGCAGCGGGGGGGCAGGAGGAGTAAGAAGAGGGGGAGGAGGGGGGAGGTGGATGAGGAGGAGGGAGGAAGAGGAAGATGGGGGAAGGTCTTCCTCTTCGTCTTCGTCCCGGTGGCCGGCGCTCTGATGTCCGCCGGAGCTTACTACCTCCTGAACGCACCGTGAAAAAAAATCATCGAAGCTGCCTCGTGGTTTATTTAACTTTCGGATGTGCTTTTATTTTGGCGGGTCTTCCTGTTTCAAACTTATTCCTTGTTTTGTTTTTGGTTAAAAGAAGTGATAGCGGTCGGGGAGCTAAAGCAGATCCATGAGACTTCATTAAACATTTTTTTTAAATTTTAGCTCAATTTCTTTTGTAACTTTTCAAATGTGTTAAGAAAAGACTAAATGTTTAATATTAAGGTGAAGTCAAAAGGATAATCTGGGTTATTAACTTAATTTAAAGTATTGAAAACTTTGTTGCCTCAATTTGACTTTCCTTTTAGTTCAGAATCCCCAAATATTGAATAGTTTATCTTCCTTTTTCAGACTTCAAATGACAAAGATCGAGGACTTAAAGCCGTTATCTCACACTCTTTAAATCCACCAGACTCCATTCATAACAATATTGTACCTTGTGTATCGCTGCCTAAATCACATGTTATTTTGTGTGTTAATGTCAGACTTTTAAGGGTTAATTTGGATTTATGAATTTGTTAAAAATTTACATTTTTCATAATATAAGATATTTAAGACTTTTTTCCCATTATTCTGAAAAAAACGAAAACTTAAATTGCCTTTAATTTCATATAATGGCAAAATATACGTTTTTGTTAATAGTATTCTTTAATCTCCAACATTAAGAAAACTCAATCAAAGATAAAGATGCAATTAATTCAACAAGAAACAGATTAAATATTACGGGCAGGAAAGTTTTAAATATAGAACAAAGTTAAGGAAGTACAGAAATGTTAAGTTCAATTTAAATCTTACTATATAAGTTATTAGTTAACTGTTTTTATTTAATGGAGTCTGGTAGATAAGGACGTCCCCACTTTAAACCACGCTAACCATCTCGTAGTTTTATTATTTGTAGTGAAATTTAGTTTTTTCATAGTTTAAATGTAGTTTTATTTTGGTGGGAAATTAGATAAAGGTGGATTTGAACTGTTTACCAATGCCACAAAAAAAAAAACGTATAAGATATCTAAACACTTTTATTTAAATGAACTTCTAAAAGTCATCAAAAAATAAATAATGAGATCTTTACTTTAAGGTTAAATCGACGAAAATGTAATGAATTCTCACCTTTTCATTGATTAGTCATGTATCTGTATTATTTGGGCGTATTTTGACTTGTTTAGTTATGACGGTGCTTCCTTCAGATACAGAAACGTTATTTCAATTTGGTCCTAAAATGTTAAATTTGTGAAGTTCAATTTCATTTTTTCTGTCTTTTTTTTTTAATACTGAAAAATAAAATGTATAAAAATATCAGTGTTGTATTATTTTATTTTTTTTAATATATAATGATTCGTTTTTTCTGTAAGTTGTGTAACAGGAATTAAGCTGCATGTGTTTACAGCCGTCAACAGAGAGGTGGCGCTGTCTCTGTAAAGAATTAAAGGTATTTTAACAACATTTATTTACTTTAGATACAATCCATTTAGCTGAATACAAATTAGTATTATTTGTTGTATTTCTGAAATGTTCTGCATTATTTGTTCCTTTAATATTTAAGGGAAATTATTATATTGATTAATTGCACCACATAAACAAATGGTCTAGTTTTATTTATTTTTAAAACATTTGAAAAAACTCTTTTCACGTAGGAGAAACTCGACCAAGTTCAGTTAGATTGTCTTTTTATGATTTTTAAACATTTCATAACTAAAATGTAAATCATCCAAAAAGTTTTTTATTAATATATGTTTTTAGTAACTGGAAATGTCAGGATGTCCTCACTGTGATGGTCTTAAAGCGTGGTCCTCTTAAAGCCATAAAAACAAACATTTTTTTTAGGCAAAGTTGCGTAACCCAAAAGTGTGTTTTGGGGATTTAAGACATGCACGAGGCTGAAGTCCCAGTGTACACTTGACTGTAAATTGGTCACGTGCAGACCACCTGAGGGGGGGTGGGGGGTAGGTGGGCGGAGCCAAGTGTCTCGCGCTGGGTTAGTTCGGCGGCTGCTCTTGTGCAGCGGGCAGAAGGATGGTCTCACGCTCAGCGGCGGGTCATGTTGTCCGCGAGCCGGGAGACCTGTCCGCGTGTCACCTTCAGCGGACCGGCTGCAGCACCGGTGAGTGTGTCCGTGTGCGTGTGTGTGTTTGTCCGTGTGTGAGTGTGTGTCCTTCACTGCTCTGGTTCTCCATCCTTTTTCTGTATCTGTAGCCTACTTACTGTATATTTCTGTTTATATTTAAGAGTGTAGTCTCAATAAAACCTCTTATATTTTGAATATCCTGCAGAAAACCCAGAAATGGAAACTCTTATTAAAGGAGGTCATGTATTTTATTTCAAACTAGAGCTGCAAAACATTGTAACCTTTAATGTATTCCTATTTACTAATTTGCTGGATTTCGTGTTTTACTCATCCGTTTCATATGGAAACCTTTAACTAAATGCATGACACATGCAATGAATGCATTATTAACCTCATTGACTAGAATACAATTAGGATCTTTTGTAATAAATCTATAACTATAAAGACATTCAGACATGTTCTGCTGTTTATGCATTAAATATACCTGATGCATTATTAACATCATCAAGAAAACATTTATAATGAGGACTTTCTTCATCCCGAACTATAGGGTTGCATCTATTGATTATTATGCAGATTATTGTCTGGATTTATTCCACTAAATTCTCTCTTTTTTTTTTACATCTTTCTATGTATAATTCTTTCTTTGTAAACATCAAATTTATGATTTGTATTATTATATATTCATGGTTGGATCTATCAACGTTTTGAATCTCATGAAAAAGATAAATCGTATTAAAATGTTTTCCTGTTGATCAGCTTTATCCTAAACATCCCATAATCATCAGAAACCATTTCATACAACTGAGTAGTTAGATTTGTCTTTTAGTTAAGTAATAACTAAGTCTTAAATAAACCGTTTTCCAGCAAAAGGCTTTATTTAATATACAGTTTTTTATGTTAAAGATACAGAAAAATATAAAAATAAAGTAACATTAAACTGCTGCAACTAAAGATTATTTTCACAATATACTTATCTGCCTATTTTCTAATACATAGTATTGTTGATAAAAGGTCCAAACATAGTGAAATGCTGTTATAATGTCCGACAGTAAAAGTTAACGTAGAAAAACACAAGATATCAAGTCGAAGAAAAAGCATAAAATAATCAAATATAAGAATCTGGAATCAGACTAACTTAAATTACTTTATTTAAAAATATCTTACATTCATCGATATATAAATATAAGCGATGCTTTGATATCAAATTTTAATGAATCTGAATAGGATCATGTTTTATTAGTAAGGAACTATTTATTTTTTATTCTCAGAAGTTGAGCTGAAGCAAATTATTAATCATAAAGGGATGCATTTATTCATTTATTCATTTTTTATTCACAGTTTTTTTTCACGTTTCATTTACCCAGTAACGACTTGATTTATAAAGAAAATAAACCAAAGATTGAGGGTTGATTAACATAATTAAAGTGCAGCTCCATCCTAAATAAACACAGGTAATTAGCCGTTATTTAGAGATACTTGTATTGTTCTGAAATTATCGTTTGTGATTCCAAAATAAAAGCCTTGAGCCAAAAGGAACACAAAATATCGAGTTATGTGTTTGTAAACGGCTTAAACTATTAATAATGACTGTGTGTGTGTGTGTGTGTGTGTGTGTGTGTGTGTGTGTGTGTGTGTGTGTGTGTGTGTGTGTGTGTGTGTGTGTGTGTGTGTGTGTGTGTGTGTGTGTGTGTGTGTGTGTTCAGGAAATCAAAAAATCTTTGTATTGAACAGAAGCCAGAGTGTATGTGTGTGTGTATTTACAGGGAGTTGCTGTGTGGTGTCGAGTGTCGCTTTTAAAAATAACTCCTCAACGGAAATTCTGAGAGGACAGAAATCCCCCCCCCCC